CACACCGCTCCCCCCTCACAGCAGTAGTGTCACATGTTTGAACATTTTGCATGATTTGTCATTCTGCAGTATGTGTAGCCGTATAGGGGGAGTAGGAGATTCTTAATCAGTGCTTGGTAACAAAGTTGTGCAGTTAACTTCTGCTCCAACTACTATGGTAGTAATGAAATTGCTTTTCACTGAATTACTCCCTTCGTTCCAAAATACTCCCTCCCTTCACAAATATAGGATGTTCTAACTTTTTTCTGAATAGGATGTTATATCATTTTAGTGTGTTTGTTCTCTTATTTCAGTCCATATGTTGTCCATATTGGAATATCCAAAACATCTTATATTTGTGAACAGAGGGAACATTTGTTACCACTACTATGGAGTATTTGTTTGGCAATGATTTACTGTGCAAATTGTACAAAAAAGTGGTTCGTGATTTTTGTATATACCCTGCCCTTTCATAACGGTTAAACTTATATACTCCTTCCATTCCAAAATAATTGAATTTCTAGGTTTCTCTTAAGTCAAACTTCTTTTAAGTTTGACAATGTCTATTAAAATATGCCAACATCCAAAACACCAAATTAGTTTTATCAGATTCGTCCCAAAATATATTTTCATATTATATATACTCCTATTTGATGTTGTAGATGCCAATATATTTTCTATATGCATGGTCAGGCTTAAAGAAGTCTGACTTAGGACAGACCTAGAACCTCAAATATTTTGGAACTGAGGGAGTATCATATAATCATGTGAGTACATTGTAAATCATGTAAATTTCTTTAATCTCTCATCCCTTGTTTTATTCTGAGCTAGCTTGTCAATAAGGTATGAAATGACATTTTATAGATTTGAAATGAAAAACACGGGGTGGTTAATGTTATTGTGTAAGTGAAGAATGAATATGTAAGCAGGATTTGTAGATCAGGATCACTAAAGGAATTGTGTTAGTAAGCTTAAGCACTTGTTTCTTCAGAGAATCTGCCGTCGGTTAAAACTCAAATGTCTCTCTTTGCAAATTTCTACTTCATAGCATCCATGGTATTTGGTTCAGAGTGTCTAAGCCTATCTATTTTGATATGTGATGTTAAGATCATCTTTCTTTCATATCCCAATAGTGTGTGTAGCAGTTGAAGCATTTCCTTGCTTTACTAATTCTTACATTTGTTTTAGTAGTGTAAGTGAATTTTTGTGTATGTTGTCTTAAAACAAACTCTGAAAACTTCTGTTAAACACTAATTTTGATATTTTCATGGACTGATAATAATATCATGAGAACATTTGTTCCCAGTTTGCAGCCTGTGAGAGAAACACGTGAAAAGCAAGTGCAGCTATGGAAAGAGCTGATACTTGATTACTGTAGAAGTCAAAAGATGTATATAATCTCCCTGGAAGAAGATTTTCCGTTGTTCTCCAATCCAAAGATTGAGAGTAAGTCGTATTTGTCTGAACCTTGTGTTTTGACTACTACTCTTCTGCAAGACTGCAATTCAGCAAAAATATGTCTTACTGTGTTGAAAGTGCTATGACATAGTGATCTGGCATGATGGTAATGTGTTCCTAAGGCCTACTATGGAGCCTATTGAGCATGCCGGACTAGTGTATACATGAAAATTTTGTTCACTCGATGAGTTTACAATGCATTTGGACATTCCTATTGACGTTACACTGAACTTGCATGCTTTCAGGATCTCTAAGCTATGAAGCAAAGGAAGTGTTCCTTGCAGCTCTTGTTAGTGAAGGTTTATTCTGCACAACATTAAACCTTTAGTTATTGTTGTAGCTGTGTGTAGTTTTGTTTTTCTAGGTAATGGACGCCTTTATTACCCCTGGCCTGTGTGCAACTACTTAAAGCCAAGTTCAAACTGCAGGGCGCGCAGAGTGGATTGACAAAAATCACAAGAAGTGTCTCGTTCTTTGGCTGCGGATTCAAGATTGGGCTAACTACATATTAGACTTCGTAAGACTTTGTATTCTATTAAACATGTTTCTTTCGAAGCTATCAATTTATCAATGAGTAGTGGCAGTGACTTAATATTTATCTATGTGTTATGCTTGTAGGTAAAGGAAAATGGGTTGGAAGTAACAACAATTGAAGATATACGCTCTGGAATTGAAACACATGGGACCGGTAAGTATACCAAACTTCATGGTGATGAGATTAGATTTTCCATTGAGAACCGAGCTCTAGCTCGGTTGGCTTGGAGCTTATGGTGTAAGCCCACCCACTCACGTTCGATCCGCGGAAGGCTCATTTCTATCTAAGTGAACACACAGTTAATGGAGGGCTTCTCCCCCATTTAGCCAACAAGATTAGATTTTTCATTTTGAATATTTCCGTGACGCTAAGCTTATTTTCTTGCTTTGAAGCAATTTGCGGTAGAAACAGTAATATACATGTACTCCCTCCGTTCCTAAAGATTTGTCTTTCTAGATATTTCCACAAGTGACTACATACGGAGCAAAATGATTGAATCTACACTCTAAAATATGTCTATATACATCCGTATGTGGTAGTCCATTTGAAATATCTAAAAAGACAAATATTTAGGAACAGAGGGAGTAGGATTTAGACTTGGCTAGCTGTTGGATACACATTTCCATGTTTACCCAACTTGTCATGTGGGCTTGGTATTATAGCGGGCACAAGCCTCAGGAGGAGCCGTCTGGCTAAGCCTAGGCTGATAAGTTCTTTTTTCTTGATTCCCTAGTTGGTTAGTTTGGATAAGAATCTATTGGAATATGCAGTTACACTTTTCCTTTTAGGGGTGGCTATTCTATAAAGCCAGGGATAATCTATGTTATATGATGAATGAATAAGCCAGAGGTTATCCTCTGAAAACCCTGTTCCTGCTGCTATCACGCCATGATGCAACCTCCCCTGCACAGCTACGCTCTGGAGCTTAGGCCGTGACATAAGTTGGTGTTGGTGCCTCATTACTAATGCACAGCCCATAATTCGCAAAAAAGAAAAGAAAAGTAATACATAGGCCATGCCCCTCGCTCATAATAAAAGTTGTCTTAGTATTGTGGCCAGTTTGAATCATTCTCTCCTGTGGCGCCTGTTGCAGAACTTGCGGGAATTGATCGTGGTGTCCTCATGCGAGCTTTGAGGCTGCTGGAACAGAAGGGAAAGGCAGTTATCTTTAAGGGCAGTTCAGCAGACGATGAAGGCGTCAAATTTTCTGTTTAAACTTTGTGTACTAGCCCCCAACTAACAGATGAATAATCTCGACCGGTGTCCTTGAACATGATACATCCCTTCTTACCCGTACACTGATCACATCCTTCCGGCGTGTTTATCGGCATCATTCAAACCTTGATATTTATTTGCTCTATTCACATTTCCCGAACTGTTGTATTTAGCCTTCTATTCATCTTCAGCATATATACCTATAAAACTGCATGTTGTGTGTCTCATAAGGCTCAACTAGTGTCTCAGCATATATTCAGAACCAATCGTTGATTGATATATGGCTTGTTAGAATGGAAGGAATTTGAACAAGTAAAATAAAATAAAATAGGGTAAGCTTATCAAGATAGCACGCTTCAGCTGGAAGAAAGGAATGTATTCTAGAAACTAGTGTCAGTTTCTCACACATTGCAGTTCAATTCCCGCAGATTCTTGTGACGCACGCTCCATCCCATAATATAAGAGCGTTTTTGATACTAGAACGGCTCTTATAGTATTATGGACCGAGGGAGGGAGTAGCTTTCTTGTGTTAACATCACTATCGGTTGTCAGGCAATCAGCCACCCAAACAAAAAGCCGGGTTCCACTCATGTCCACTTGGGCTGCATGAATTGGATTCTCTCGCCCCGTCACTGACATGCAGGCCACGAGGAATCAATCAGTCGGCAGGGCCTCCCACCAGAATCTGCAGATTCTTTATTTTTCATTCACGATTATTATAATATCAGGAGGAGACGCGGCTGCCTTTCCGTCGGTGTCACTCCACGTCAGTTCTCTCCATCCATCAATCTATTGGCGTTGATTGAGAGAAGAAAAGAAGGGTATAACCCTGTTCATCAGCAGCCACTAATACGAAAGGGGGTCGGTGCAAGTGCAGCGGATGGATGGGGCATTTGATCTGATGCCACCCGCCTTTGCCGATCAGCCATGGCACCGCACCACTAAAAAGTAAGCAAGCAGGTCCCAACCGCATTGAAGGACGATTCGACGGAAACGAATAAATAAAACCAGCACGCAAACCTGCATCAAGACAGACAGACAGCGAGCAAAGGAACGGGAGGCCCATTTACATATATAGCCCTGCTGCTCCTGGCCCCTTTCCCCAGTTCCGTCCCATTATTGGTTCTTGCGAGGAGGGGGGCGGAGAAACGGAAGCAGGAGGCAGAGAGGAGATCGAGCCAGAGGTTTGTTCCGTTCCAGTTCCTCTTTGTGATGTGTACTAACCTGTTTATGGCAGCAGATTTGATGGTTTCTCTGCTCTGGTTCTTGGGGGGAAAAACAGGGCGGCGAGCAAGGGCGCGATGGCGTCCAAGAGGATACAGAAGGAGCTTAAGGATCTGCAGAAGGACCCCCCTACCTCATGCAGCGCAGGTCTTGCTCCTTTCTTGCTTCTTTTGGTCTGGATTTTGCACTTCTAGGACATGCCCTTGTGTGAAGAGTCAGATTTTTGTGCGTATGCTATGCTTCGGAATGACTTGCTGTGCACACGCTCGCGTCTTCCGTGACTGTACCGGCCGCGAAAGAATGCTTTGCTTGACAGCTATTTGGAGTGACGCTTTATGCTCTGCTTGCCCCAAAAGGGGAAGGGGAGAAGGTGCGATGTGTGCTTGGAGTTCTTGGTGAAAACTACCCGTGAACTTGGGACTTTCTTTTTCTTTTTTTTTGCGGGGAGCATGAATCTGGACTTGGATCAACGGTGCTATGTACTGACATGTGGCCTTGTTAAACCCGCGTCACAGGCAAAGAAGGCTGCCTGCAATGAGAGCCTTAGCTCGATTGTTAGGTATGCGGTTGTGCAGTCTAACCAGCCGGGTTCAATTCTTAGAATTGTCAGGTGATGCACAAGGGTTTCCCCCGTTTATTGAGGACCAAGCTTGATGTGTGGTCACTCATCAAGCTAAAATCTTGGTACTCACAAATAATATATTGGAGGACCATGCTTGATATGTGGTGAGACTACACTTCAAGATAAAAATCTTGGTACTCATACTAAAAAGGGTGTGTGCATCCCTAGTTGGTGCAGAGGCCGGGAAGTGAAATTCTCCCCCCAAATAAGGTTTCTGGAGAATCGGGCCAAAAAGCCCTCTCTCTCCTCTTGTCGCCCCTGTGTGGTGGTTGTCGGCCGCTGTTGTTGCATGGCAGCACAGTAGCCTGCATCTGGTTTGGCGGTGGTGTTCTGGCTGTGTTCTTGCTCGATGTGGCATCACCTGATGGTGCCGCAAGAGTTGGGCGATGGGACGGCGGCCCGGCTTCTTCGATGGTAGCGCCTCCGTGGTTAAGTGGATGATGGAGTGGTTGGGTCTTGCAGTGGTGACGGCCTCCTTGAGGATGGCGGCAACAGATCAGGTTCGATGCGGCTCAGTGAGTGACATGTGTCTCTTCTAGAGGCGTCAGAGCATGCCTGTCGCCGGCAGGTGAAGCCACCGGCGGGTGCTACGCACGATGTCTCATGCGGAGACGTCAAATCATGCCTGACGGCAGGTGCTGCATGGTGGCTCTGGTGGAGGTGTCATGTTATGCATGTTGTTGTTGGATCGAAGGTGGCGCGTCAGTGACCGAAGGCGAGGCTGTATGGGACTTCTTGACTTCCGGTTCCTTTTCCTGCGGTACTCGGCTGGCTAGGCGTCGGTAGCCGAACAAGTGTTGATGGTAGAGGTGACCTCAATGACGAGCATGTGCACTCCGGTGGAAACACTAGATCTCCGATCAGGTTATGTCGACGCACGCCAGCATCGTGCCCTTGCTGAAGGTGGTGGATGGAAGCTTGGCTTTAGGGATGAAAATCTTGAGACCGACCTTGGGTTGGACTCGTCATCATCGGCGCACGTCCGAAGATTCCTTCTCGCAAGAAGCAGTGCGATGAAGCGGCGGCGGCGGCAGCGGCGGGGAACCTTGTCTAGCCCGAGGAGGACAAGGGACCAGGCTGATGATGGCCTGCGGCGACTCAATGCAAGAGGGGCCGATGATCCCCGCGCCACCGCGGCATGCCAGGGAATCTGGCTCTCACCCCTCGAAGAAATTCTGAACCAGGAGGTTGCCCCATTGATAGCAAGTGTGCAATCTCAATCTACAAGAACCCAGTTCTCCATGATCGCAACAAGCATATCGATCTCCGCTATGACTTAATTGAGAACAGTAATGGGACCGCGGAGTTCATCGGCATGAACAAGCAGAAGGCTGATATCCTGATGAAGTCCCTTGGGCGTGTACGATTCCGGAGCTTCGAGCCTTGATCGGCATCGTCGACATCGCCATCCTCTCATGACAGGGTTGAAGAGGGAGATTGTGGCCTGTTAAACCCTGCCGCTCGCGTCGCAGGCAAATAAGTCTGCCATGGCAGCATTTTTGGCCCAACCCAAAAACCGTTGCATATGGCAGCAGCCCTTTACCGTCGGTCTTTTTTTTGTTAGAATTTTTTCAGCAGTTTAGTTAGCTTTTGCCCAGAGGATGCGGTCTGTACACTCCTCGACGACTTTGTAGCATGCATAGCACTAGCTCGGGACATGTGATTACATGTTTGGTAGTGGAGCATGAGCTACGACTTGTTTCCCTTTTCTGAAGAAATAAAAGCAGGAAGAAAGAGCAGAAAAGCTGCAATATTACGCAGCGCAAAATTCAATGTCTTGCTCGTTCTGTTGTGCCCACAGCTCGTGGTTCAGGGTAACATGACACAGTTTGTCCAACGGTAACTGATGCAATCACGCAATCAGTGATTAATATCACAGTGATTCACGGAGATACGGTGTTTACCCTTAGGCGATCTGACAAACGACATTAGTCTCGTCATGGTGGATACTGTAAGTCTTGTCAATACAATTAGAATAAAATCCCTGGCTGGATATTGGGATATTTGGTGGGGTTTAGTTCCAAGCTGGCCTGAACATAAGCGGCAGCCATTTCGAAATTGTTCAAAGTAATTAAACATCTGATATGTGAGGATGGGCCTCTGAATACACTTCAGTTGTAACTTATAAGGTTTTGATTAAAGAACTGTTATTTCCAAATTAATGCATCGTTTAACAGTAAGATTCAGATAATTAAAACAGGTGTTCATTAAGAAAAGATATGGGTAGCTTGACTTATTTCTGGGGAGATCTAGCTACCTATTGATTTGTGTTTTGTTTTTATGTTTCCCAACAAATGCTTACACTAGAACTAGCTATGTCAACGCTGGTTTCTGTGGGTAACGTGTGAAGCAATGTTATATTGGTGTCTAGAACACTGGCTGTATTAGATCTGATAATGGACCAGGTGCATTCCTTCTTATTTTGCAGCAACGTCATCATCTTTTCACATTGATGACACCAAACTATTGAAAATAAAATAAATTAAGTTTTTACTTCTAGTTCTAGATCAGTTGTATATATGCAGAGTGAACATGCAGGGTACAGCTCACCCATGTATTACGCATCGCACTACTAGGTTGGCATGACATGGTTATAACTTTTATTGGAAAGAATGTAGCAAACTGTCCCCTATGTTTCTATACTGGCACAACAGATATCTCACTTCAATCTGATGGTCCCTGAACTTGAGGATCGTGCATTGTATTATTGTCTCAACTGAGGTCCAAGCAGCATTTAATTTAATTACCAAATAGCAACTAACGACCATGTCGCAATTTGGGTTTATTTAAGCATAAGTTTGGCCATGCTTGTGACTATTCTGCATTTTGTTTGCCGATGTGTACTTGAATATGCAATCTTATGAGCTCGGCACACTAGTGTAACTACTCCCAACTCATGCAACCACACGGGCTAGCAGTTCAAAAATATTTTTGTTTCTGTGGATTCAAGAAAAAAATGTCTGCATAATACCGTTTTTATTATGCAATATACTATATTTGATATGGAACTAAAATTTATATCGCAGAATTATCTCAGGGTACAACTGTATGTAGAATTGTCTTGGATGTATCGTCAATTAATATTTCTCACTTGACCGCACAATGCTTTTTGGATGGTGCGCGAATTTGCAATCCAGTTATCTTGGGCCAATCAAGTAACACTGATGTAAATTTTGTCTACAAGGATGGTTACTGACGTTTAGTCATTTTTTCCCATCAATTTGTTTTGTTTGACATTGTTTGATACCCCTAGTCTTCTTGTAAGTTCATTTCTGTGTCAAGTATAGCTAGTCGACATGTCTATTAGATAAGATGGTTATAATGCGAACATAGCTAGTTGATGATGATATGATACTATTTTACAGGTCCTGTGGGTGAAGATATGTTCCATTGGCAGGCAACAATAATGGGCCCATCTGACAGCCCATATTCTGGTGGAGTTTTCCTAGTTACTATCCACTTCCCTCCTGATTATCCTTTCAAACCACCAAAGGTACTTGGCACTAGCCTAATTGTCAGTTGTTTCTCTGCATTTCTTCTGTTTCATATGTACTTTGTAAAATTTTGAATCGTATATGTCTGAGGTCATTTCACAGTTCACATCTAAGAACGGAACTCTGACAGATGTGGTTCATTTCTGTTTGTGTTGGTAACACACACAATTTTATTTAGTTCATTGGTTCGGTTTATCTTTTTGGCTTTCTTTTCTGGTCTTTTATAAAGCCTTACATGGGTTTCAAATGTGTGGTAGCTTTAGAAATCCATGTTTATAAGTACTCTGCAATAGATTAACGGTCGGGCTCCATGCCTCTAAGCACACTTGCTGAAGACATTTGATGGCTTAGAAGGAGCCGTTTCATTTGAACTGGTTCTGAATGGTAGATTTGGGCGGCAACTACTAAGTAAGGTGGATTTGTTGTATGTGTTTGGGTAAGATGGGGCTTCAGTTAGATTCTTATATAGAGTTGGTAAATTACACCTATGGTCCTGCAAAAGTGAATGCACGGTCCGTGAAGTTTGAAATATTTGCGGTGTACACAAACACTTTTTTCTATGTTGTTTAGAACCACAGAATTGCTTTGCAGTGGTTGTGCGGCCACATTAATCACTTAGGTGTTCATCCGCTTATTCGTAAGGCAAAACAACTAACTGAACTGAAAAGTTATCGAAGCTCTATGGTTTCTGATTATCTTGTGCAAAAGCTTAAAAGTTTCAGTCGGGAAGTTCACTTGCCATACTGAATACCATCCATAGCTTTTACATTACAAAAAATGCAAAGTATGAACCCTCTTCCTTATGCAACATGCAGGTGGCATTCCGCACCAAGGTGTTCCATCCAAACATCAACAGCAACGGGAGCATTTGTCTGGACATCCTCAAGGACCAATGGAGCCCCGCTCTGACCATTTCCAAGGTTTGCTAGTTTCCTCTCCCTCTCCGGTGCAAGTTGGTTGCAATTGCTTGGTTCTTCTTCACAGTGGAGTTGAGCTCATCTGCTGCTACTCTGTCGGGTTACATACATGCAGGTGCTGCTGTCCATCTGCTCCCTGCTGTGTGACCCGAACCCTGATGACCCTCTGGTCCCTGAGATCGCCCACATGTACAAGACGGACCGGCACAAGTACGAGAGCACCGCCAGGACCTGGACGCAAAGGTATGCCATGTAATGCAAGACGGCGGATGGGTCGCCGGAGTCAGTCTTGTTTGTAACATTCTCGATCAGTTCGTGTGTGCCCGCCCAGTGTATGTGTCTGTCAAACTGGCACTCGTTGCTCAACTGTGTCACCTGGCGCAGTGACTTGGAACATGGAACCGGTGTTGCATATTTTGGATTCAGATAAATGTAGCCACCTGCCTGCCACTTAAATTGCTTACCCGTTGCAATTTTTTGTGCTTTAAATTGCTTACCCGTTGCGTGCTTTGGCGGGCATCGCCTGTATGCCGGACACCCGTACTAGTACTGGTCTGATCATGCGCAGGGGTTCTATCAGGTGGCGTCAAAACAATCAATTACAGTGTAGTACTGTACTAATGATAACGCCAGTAGCGGCTTACTGTGTATGAATATGATGATTCGGGTTGGGACTTCAAATTTGCGTCTTAGTTCAAGAGAGTAAGAGGCTAGTTGTCAGGAGTTGAGCTGTAAATCGGGTGGGGCGAGATGTCAGGCTGTCCTCTGTGCAAGCACGCAGTGTTCAGTGTGCATGCGTTTCTCACCGCACCTAAACTAACTTTAACCAAAGAGGTGTTTGAATGGTAGGGTTAGGTTGACAATAAATGCTCTTTCTTAATCATTTGACTACTTGGAACCCTATTTCCTGCTGGATTTGACGGAGCGAGCCCTGGCCGAGGCAGACGGGGATGCGCCCGGCAAGGAGCCGCGCCGGCCTCTCGCACAGCCCGCCAATCGAATTCGCTGTCCCTGCGCAAGGAGTCGCGCTGGTTGAGGCCGACGGGGACGGGCCGCGCAAGGAGCTGCGGCTGCTTATCGGCGGGCGGACGGGCCGCAGGAAGACGAGGGGGTTGGAAGGGAGGATAGGGCGGGGCTGGTTACCGGGGGCAGACGGGAGCGCGGATATGGAGATGCGCCTTCACGGGCGGTGTGAGAGGGAGGGAGGAAGAGGACGAGATGCTTCGAGGAAGTGGGGAGAGCGACTGAGCGAGAGAAAAATGTGTCTTTTTAGTGGTCCTAAAGAGAACTAACCCAAATAAGCACCTCTTGGATGGGTTAGATTTTTTGAATGAGTTAGATGCATCTAACCCGAACTAATCCTCTTATTTGAATATTTTTGAGTTAGTTGAGTCCAAACTAACCCAAACTACTCATGAAACCAAACGGGGCCTTCGGGACCATCTCCTTTTGAGCATCTCTACTAGTGCCTCCAAGAAGCCTTCCCAAGCCACTTTTTGGGTGCTGGCGGGCAAAAATCGCCCCACTCGAGCCCCCAACTCATCGTTTTTCGCCGGTAGAAGCAAAAATTCCCGCCGCCGATCCCATACAACACCCAGCGCACCGAGGGGCTCCTGGGGGGCTTAATTTCGCCTTTTTGTGGGCGCTGGCCCACCTGCCAGCGGCTCTCTCTCCTGTTAACTCACTTTTGTGGGCGCTGGCCCACCCACGTGCTCCCTTCTCTTTCTCTTTCCCTTCATGCACGCGGGCATCGAACCCCACTCCCTTCCCCGCCGCCTGGCACGCCTCGTCGCTGGTCCTCGTCGACGCCGGAGACCTGCTCGTGCCCGACGCCGAGGCGGCGACCGAGGAGGCCACCACGTTCCGCGCCCGTCCTCCGCGCCGCGGGCGTCACCGTCGCGGCCTCCACGGCCACGGTCGCCTGGCACGCCCTGTTTGCCGCTCCCACGCCTTCTGCCTCCCCGCCGGCCCCGCCACCTTCTCCCTCGAGCACCCGCTGCTCCTCGCCGGCCTGGCCCCCTCCGGCGCCCCGCTGAGCCGGCCCCTCACCCCGACCGAGCAGGACATTCGCGCCTGCCTTGTCGTCGAGAAGGAGAGGCCTGGGCGCGGACGCGGGAAGCCAGGGGACGCATCGGCCAGGGGCGCGGGCGCGCGGCGGCCAGGCAGGGGAGGTGCACGCCGGCGAGGAGCCCGGTCCTTCACCTCCCTCGTCCGCTGATGATCACCAGCACCTCGCTCGTCCTCGTCGGCCCCGCTTATCGCCTCCTGGGGGCGCGACGAGTGGAAAACTTCCCGTCCCCAGGCCAAAGTTCTCGCCGGCAGCCCCTAAGGAGGCGAAATATGCCTCCTGGAGGCTCAATGGCTGGAGATGCTCTTAGCCCTAAGGAGTGTTGGTTCTGTTCCACATCTGCACTGTGCGATTCATTTGCGGGAACATTTGTACAGGGCCCAACAATAGGTTTGCCGTATTTGGTAAAATTTCCACGCCCTTTCCGACTGAGTACTGTCAAAGTTGGACTCGTACACATTAGCACTGTCGTGGTTCTAAGTCTGACAGTAGTGTAGGGGGGTAAGTATGGAGAGGCAAGATCTTAGCTGTGGAGAAGTTGTAAGGACGCAAGGTTTACGAGTTCAGGCCCTTCTCGGAGGAAGTATTAGTCCTACGTCTCGAAGCCCGGAGGCGGTCGACTGGATTATGTGAGTATGAGTTACAGAGGTGCGAACCCTTGTCTCGGAGGAGGGGGGTGGCTTATATAGAGTGCGCCAGGACCCCGGTCAGCCCATGTTACAAAGGGTTCAATGTACATTAAGGCAGGGCGTTACTGGTAACGCTAGTAATAAAGTGCTATGATGACCATAAAAGCTATTTAATGACCGGCCGTTAGCGTGAGGAGTGACTTTAGGTCTCCTGGCCGTCGAGTGGTTGGATCTTGGTCGAGTGATTGCTTCTTGGTCGAGTGTCTTCGAGTCTGTCGAGTGGAACACCTTCAAGTCGATTGAAAGGTGATTTCTTCTAGAGATGTCCTTGGGTAGGGCAGTTAGGACATGTCCATGACCCTACCCTAGGTACATAGCTTCATCATTAGCCCCCGAATGGATCGAGGTTTGAGTGAGGAAGGAGTTGAGAACTTCTCCGACTCGTTTTTCATGCCGTGAGCGTATCTTGTTTCGGATCAACAGACCTGAGTGATGACAGCAACTTCCTTTTCAGTCGCCTTGATCCATTCCTAATTCTTCGTCGAGTGAATTTCTTTACTTGTAAGGCTCCGAGTGACGGTGCGGAGGAGATCTTTTGGTCTGACAAGTTGTTTGCTGCCCGCAGATTCCATGGGATCAGAATTTTGGGAAGCGCGCGAGACGGGGGAGGCCGCAGTAATCGGATGGGATAGAGCGGAGCTGCCTCGATCCTCGCACCACCTTTTTCGCCATGTATCGCACACGCGGTCGTTACGGGATTTGACAGAGTCACCTGGGCCTACCCGTCAGCCACTCGGAAGCGGCCTCATATAAGGCATTGGACCGGAGTCTCCCGCACAGTGCGTTCTCATTTCCTCTTCTCCTCTCCACGTCCCTCCGTTGCGCTCATTCTCGCCCCAGCATCACCGCTCCGTACGCGTCTCGCCGGCGGCAATGAGGAAGGAGAAGACGGCGGCTCTGGAGCGGGCAAAGAAGGCGACGGCGAGGTCGAAGGGGAAGGCGACCACCCGGGGCGGATCTTCTTCGTGGACCGGCCTGCCGAAGGGCTGGATCCAGGGCGACTAGATCCACTCGAGGATCACCCAAGAGGACCTCGACGACCTGGCCGAAGGGGGGCTGATCCCCTACGACTCGGCGCGGCTTCCGGGGAAGGAATCTGAGCCGCAACCTCGGGAGGGTGAGCGTGTTCTTCTTGCCACCCACGTCGACCGTGGATTTTCCTTGCCTCCTCACCCCTTCTTTCGAGGGTTTCTGAACTTCTTTGGGGCACAAATCCACCATTTTACCCCCAACTCAATCGTTTATCTCGCCGCTTTCATTTCTTTGTGTGATAATTTCCTGGGTTGCCGGCCTTATTGGGGTCTTTTCAAGCATATTTTTACTTGTCGCTCCCAGACGGTGAAAAAGGCTAATCCGAGTGACGAGAGGACCCAAGTGATCCAGATGTGTGGGAGCCTTGGCATCCAGACGAGAGGGAAAAGCTCCTTTCCGGCCATGATTCTTCCTGACTCAGTCCGCGGATAGCAGTCGACCTGGTTTTACTGCAAAGACCAGTCGACGCCAGGGCAATCGACTGGCCTCCCTCCCTTTACCATGGACCGAGTGGAGAAACCCTCCCCTTTGAAGGTGCTCCCGGAGGAGAAGGCGCACGTGAAGGTGTTGGTCGATCGAGTGGTCCAGCTTATTCGTGACGGGGTCACTGGTATGGATCTCTTCGAGGTCTTCCTTCAGCGGCGCATCCAGCCTCTTCAAGCTCGAGACCATCTGATGTGGATGTATTCGGGTCTTGAAGACTCCACTCGGATCCATCCGGAGGAGGTCGACGACGACACACTGGAGAAGTGGCTGTCGGGCATTACCGGGAACAAGGACAATCCCAGGGGAGCCAGGAGAATTCCCCCATTCGACCAGTCTCATGCACCAGAGCAGGTCTGATTCCGAGTTTTTGCTTGTAATCTGAATTCACTCGCGCAGCTGCCTATGTTGCGTCGACTGACTTTGCTTTCCTTGCTTTCTTTCAGGCCATTATTGAAATGTATTCAATGCCCAACGGGGAGCAAGAGCAAGTTCTGGAAGGCGAGGCGAGTGGCGGCGAAAGTGGTGAGTGGACTTCCGATGGTGAAGGGGATGGAGGAAGCGACGACTCAAGTGACGGAGAAGAAGTCGAGTCGCCCCCTCGCAGGGAGAGGTGATCCAAGCTTGACCAAGAACAGCCGAGTGCCCGCGACAAGGCAACTGCTCAGGCTGGTCAGTCTTCGAAGCGTCCTTGGATCTCTTCACCAACCCCGACTGAGAAGGCGCCCAAGCACCCCAAAATTGCAGAGCCGAGGACTCGGAAGGCGTTGCCGAAGATCAAGATTGATATCCCCGTCGCCTCCGCGTGAGTGTCTTTCTTTGTATTCACTCGACACTCCGCGCTGTTTGTTTTTCTTGTTTTAACTGGACGAACTTTGGAATTGTCAGCGCTGCCACTTCCGGGACCTCAGCTTATAGGGATGATGATGAGGTGATGGAGGATGCGGTCACTTCTAATCCGGGTATGATTTCTGCCATACTATCTTTATTCGGTTGATTCAACTGCAATGTGCATCATTGGGTGACGTGATTTTGGCAATCGAACTTTGCACAGCTCCCAACATTATTGACCTCCCTGATGATGATGAAGAGCCCAAAAGGCCTTTGACGAGGAAGAGTAGGCAAGCTCCTGTAGGCGAGGCGCTACAGTCAACGCCG